CACCCTCCATCTCTTTTACCTCTCGTCCCATATCCATTCTCTCCCATCTATCCAGATCCTTCTGTTACCTACCACCACGCTTTTTCCGTACCCTCTTTCCATCTTTGCTTTTTCTACCATCCTCCATCTCATTCTTCTCTCCTCCATCATTAAGTCCTCGTCCACGCCTATCTTCCAGAATCTCCTTATCTCACTCCCTTTCTCCAATATCTCGTCCTTGTCCTTTTCTTTATCCATTTCCACTAACAATACCTTTTTTTTGCTCTTCTCTCTTCTTCCTTGATCCCTCGCCTCCTCTCTCTCTTCTTCTTCCTCCTCTTCACTTTCCTCTTCTTGCGACACCGTTGTTTCCTCCTCCTTTTTTCTCCTTCCTCTCGCGTTCTCTTCTCTCCATAACTTTAGCTCCTTCCTTATTCCCCTTACCTCCACCACCAGCTCCTTCAACCACTTTTCCATGTCCTCCATCTATTTTTCTTTCCTCCCGTTTTCTTTTCCCAGCCTTCTTACTTCTCTCCCTTTTTTCTTCCCTCTCACTCTCCCTTCTACCTTTATCTCCTTCCTTCTCTTTCCTTTCTGTCCTCTTCCGTTCTTCTCACTCGCTTTCTTATCACTTAACCTCACTTTCCTCTTCCACCATTTACTCCCTTCTACCCTTTTCCTTGTCTCTCTCCCCTTCTCTTCTTTTCCCTTCCTCTGTTGTCCTTCTGCCTTCTGCCAGTCCCTTTTCACCTCTTTCGCTTCTATCACACCTTTATCCTTCCTTCTTTTCACCTGCTATATTCTATTCCTACTGCCCGTTTCCGTATCGATATCCACTAACTCCATATGTGCTCGATCCTAGTTCCTTACCTACATTCGGCGCCACCTCTCGGATTTTCTCATTCAACTCTCCTCGTTCCTTTGTGCCCTATCTTATCTAACTTTCCTCTTTCTTATCGACCTCTCGTCCTTCCTCTTCCTCTCAGCCTTTCTCTTTCTATCCATCTTCTCTCTCTTTTTTCTTTCTTCTAACCTTCAAAACTGCTACACTCCTTTGTATCCTTCTTTCTTCTATAATCATCCTTCCACTTTGTTCCCTTCACTCACAACTGCTCCTCCCTTTCCACTCTTCTTACTCCTTTTCTCCGCTCCAATTCCTTCCTCTCTACACCAACTTCCCTCGCCTTTTCCTACGAGCACATGCCCCAACTATCTATTCCCCAACCGCCATTTTTCCCTCCTACTAGAACATCCTACTAATGATACAGATTCAGAATTATCAACTCATAGCGATCAAATATATATATTTATATTTAAGAATGTTCAAAATTAAAACATTAAAATTTCGTTTCTAAATTTCGCCGTTATATTAAAACGATTGCCTCAGAAAATAAAACACGAGCGAGAACAAACAGCGTCGCGGTCACCCGCTCGGTACATAATCGCATTTTTCTTAGAATGAAAAACTGTGACAAACAGCAAGTTCTCGAAGGTTCGAAATCAGAAAAACTTGTTATTCAGATCGGCAGAGCGCGAGTTTCCGCGGTCGGTCGATTTAGTCTGCCTACGACAACGATTCGAGCCAGTCGAAATTCATCGACTTTTCGCATTCGCATTTTGCTTATTCTCGCTCGTGTCGCGTACGCAGTAGGCTTACTCGTCTCAAATTCGGTCCGAATTGTCTCGCATAATATTGCACTCATATTCTCGCGGCGAGCAATTTGGTCACATCTCAATTCGTGTTCTTTCATTATTTAGTGCTCAGATATTGTGAAAGTTAATTGTTTGGAGTTCAAGAGTCGACGCTCGTTATCCGCATCGCGAATGTCCTTCGCCTCGTGCTAAATTCCATCCAGCGTTCGCGGTCAAGATTTCCGTTCTCGCGAGAGTTTCTAGCAAGAAGCTCTTAATCAAGATTTCCGAACCGCGAAAAAGGGCAGTCATTAACAGGACATTTCGAAGATTTCCGGATTCGCGGAATACGTGCCGTCGCTCGCTTCTAGTATTCTAAATAAAACGAATAGTTAAAACATCTGAATTCAAATCTTCAACAAGATTTGAATTCAGATGTTTTAACTATTCGACTATCCATCTCCTTATCCTCCAGCGGATCTACGGATTCGCGTTACACACCGCTTCTCGCTCATCTCTGAGCGTCTCTCTCTCAGTTTCGGGCGATCTCGTCGAGGTCGACTCCCGAACATATTGGTCCCTCGATAAGTTCGCGAGTGTGTGATAGTCCAATACATCTACGATGTCGGAGCACGTCGCGCATCAGCAGCAGCTGCAGCGTACCATTGAACGCGCTCTCGAGAACTTCAAAAAACTCGGTAGGAACAATCTCACACCAGCTAAGGTGCGTTCCCGGATCTCAATGCTCAAGGAATACTGGAATCAATTCTCCAATGGACACGCCGAGGTGTCACGGAAAGTCCCGGAAGCCATCCGGTCATCTTTCAGCTACTTCAAGGACAACCATTACGACGCGACTCTAGTCTATGAAACGGCAATGGACCATATGGCGGAGATCCTGGAGGAACTGGAGCCGGTCGTGAGTCCAAACCCATCTCTGTCCTCGACGAGGCTGCCCGCGGACGCGTCCGCGTTTTCATTATCGCATCTTCCGCCCATCAAATTGCCTCCGTTCGACGGCAATTACGACGAATGGGAACAATTTCGCGATCGATTTACGACACTAATTCGTGAAAATTCGGATCTAAATGATTTCGCTCGCATGCACTTTTTATCATCGTGCCTTAAGGGTAGCGCGCTGGAATGTATAGCGAATTTTGAAATAGCGTGGAAAGCGTTGACTTCACGGTACGACGACAAAAAGCGGTCGATAAACAAACATCTCTCGACATTGCTTAGCTTATCATCTATCACGCGCGAATTTGCCACCGAGATGCAGACTTTATACGACAAGGTTAATATCGCAATGGCATCATTAAAGGCCCTAGAACGAAAACCGGAGGAACTCTGGGAAGATATTGTCGTTCATATCGTTGTGCAAAAATTAGATGCGTTACCACGCAAAGCTTGGGAGATAAGCATAAGCCATAAAGATGCCCCGCCATCTTACGAGACTTTAAGCGAATTTATTAAGTTTTGCACTCGCGCGTTAAGGGCAGCCGCTCCCGGGTCAGCCATTAAAACCGGTGTAAAACCAATCGCAGGCTCGCGAATTCATGTCGCAACCGCATCCGCTAAAGCACAATCGCA